TGCTTTAGACAAGAAATAAGGCAATGGCAGTAGAATTATAGGAGAGGCAAAATCAAGCAAGATGTGTACATGTTTGACTCCACAGGACTTTGACCTATTGGAGTTTAAGGAGAAGGGGTGTTTTAAGTAGTTTTTACGTTTCTGCCTTTAGATGACTGGGTGGATGATAACACATCTCAAGAAGAAATACCAAAGGACGTGAAAGTTGGTAAGGATGTCACTGAGTTTACTTCTTACTAAGTTTGAAGTGCATAGCCTGATATGCCAAAACTTGGGTCAGTAAGGCAGGCAAAAAGATTGGGCTAGAAATACATATATGGGAGTCATCAGCATGTAGGTGGAGGTTGAAATTGGAAAAATGGATGAAGCTGCTCTAGAAAAGCATGAAGCATGATCAAGAATAGAGAAATGCAACCTCATGGGACATCAGTGTTTTAGGAGTTAGGTGGGGAAAAGGAGACAGAAAAACTATTAGACCAGAAAGGAAAGGAACTAGACAGAATAAAAAGTTATGTTCAAAAAGTTGAACTGGGCTTCCCTGGTGGCGCAGTGGTTGAGAGTCTGCCTGCCGATGCAGGGGACATGGGTTTGTGCCCCGGTCTGGGAAGATCCCACATGCCGCGGAGCGGATGGGCCCGTGAGCCATGGCCGCTGAGCTTGCGCGTCCGGAGCCTGTGCTCCGCAACGGGAGAGGCCACAGCAGTGAGAGGCCCGTGTACCGCAAAACGAAAACAACAAAAAAATTGTCCTTCCCACCTCATCTCCCCTGACTGCCATGCTCTGTCCTAACCACATCTTCTGAGTCATACAGAACAGAGGATAGACCTTACTTGTCTGAATTTAAGATTCTCCTAATTGTGACTGTTGCTTCATGATAGAGAAGAGATATTTTTTTCAGAAAAAAAAAAAAGCAAAAATGCTCATTTATTCTCGATCAGAAGACGAAGATCTGTAACTACCGCTCTAAAGTAGAAATGAATTTTCAGTAGTGCTTGGAAGTGGGAATTTCTTGAAATGAAGGATGTGGCAAAGTTGGGAACATCTTTCAGAGTGCATCTTTTATCTTCCTCCTCAGAAAACTGAAGAACTCAGTAGCTGTCCCTTCCACATAAGAGTGATACCGAACCATAGTTTCCAAACTGTTTCTCAGCACCTGAGGGTTCTGTGGGGATGTCTTATATTTCTTTATTTTTCAACCAGAGTTGCTCCACTTTTATCTGTTACATATTGGTGCTCCATGAACATTTACTATTACAGAGCATGTTCCTTTGATTTAAAAAAAAAAAAAAAAGAAAAACTTTTGAAAAACATTTATCTAAACAAAAAAATACAATGTATTTAAATATTTAACTTACAATATGGTAAATAAAATATATTTGAAATAGGTAATGCATTTTTATTTCAGAACTATTCTCTATTATTGGAATAATATTAGAATCCAAGTATACATAAACAATTTTTTTTCTTTTTAAAATCTCTACCCTACAGTCTAGGTTATTTTTTATAGCTTAACATCCATTTAGTGGCTGCTTTTCAGCTTTGAGGTATATACTGAGCCCTAAACTGAAATTGGTGTAATAAGATTTGAGTCCTTTGTTGTGCCTAATTAAGAGCCTTCTCTAAACCAGGCACTGAGCTGAGCATGGGGAGAATAAAGGTGAGTCTGAGAACTTCACAATGTCACAGTCTGACAGGAGAGAGTCAGGTCAGTCCGTTATCAGCAGTTACAGTATATCCATTAGAGCAGCAGCACAGAGAGGACCATCTACTCAAAAGGAAGTTGGTGGCATGGTGTGGGGGGCAGGGAATAGAGGCTGATGCAGGATGAATAACCAGCATTGATTGAGCCTCTGTTCTGAACCTGATACAGTGCAATGCTCTAGGTTAGACCATTGCTCTCTGGAGCCTGCTGTCTAACTGGGGAGATGAAGTTAAACAATCAAAATTTCAAATATATACAGATTTAAAGAAATTCTATGAAGAAAAGGAATAAGAGAATAACAGGAGTAAACTCTTTTAGGGTCACTACAAGAAACTGGCATTTACACTTAAAGAACAGGATAGAATGCTAATTATAGCTATAATGGCAACAGTATTACAATATACAGATGTATCAAATTAACATGTACACCTTAAATTTACACAATGTTATATGTCAGATGTACTTGAATTAAAAATAAGTTAAAAAAGATAAGTTTAAAGAATGCGGAGTCAAATGAGTGAAGAGAAAGGGAAAGAGTGTTTTTTTTTTTTTTGCGGTATGCGGGCCTCTCACTGCTGTGGCCTCTCCCGTTGCGGAGCACAGGCTCCGGAAGCGCAGGCTCAGCGGGCCATGGCTCACAGGCCCAGCCGGTCTGCGGCATGTGGGATCTTCCCGGACCGGGGCACGAACCCGTGTCCCCTGCATTGGCAGGCGGACTCTCATCCACTGCGCCACCAGGGAAGCCTGATCAAGCCCATTTACAATAAATGCAGAGGATAGAAGACTAGCTTAAAGTGGAAGTACAAATGAAATTAGCAAAACCTAGGTATAAAACTACAGGAAATTCACACAATTCTTTAAGCAATAATAGGAACAAAAACAAAATTTGTGAGGAAAATAAAAGATGGAGGGAGAATTTACAGATTAAAGAAAATTTAAGGTGGGAATTCCCAGGCGGTCCAGTGATTAGGACTCCGTGCTCTCCCTGACTAGGGCCCGGGGTTGGATCCCTGGTCTGCTCAGGGAACTAATATCCTACGTGCAGCGTGGCCAAAAAGAAAAAAGAAAAGAAAATTTAAGGCACATATCCTTTTTTAAAAAAAATTTTTATTGGAGTATAGTTGATTTAAAATGTTGTGTTAGTTTCTGTTCTACAGCAAAGTGAATCAGTTATACATATATATATCCACTCTTTTTTGTTTTTTTTTTTGGCCACGCTGCGCAGCTTTCGGGATCTTAGTTCCACTACCAGGAATTGAACTCGTGTCCCCTGCAGTGGAAGTGCAGAGTCCTAACCACGGGACTGCCAGGGAATTCCCATATCCACTGTTTTTTAGATTCTTTTCCCATATAGGTCATTACAGAGTTTTGAGAAACATGCCCTGTGCTATACGGTAGGTCCTTATCTATTTTATATTAAGGCACATATCTAATCACGGTGTGTAGCCCTTATCTGGATCCTGATTCCAACAGATTGTTAAAACAAGAAAATGAGAGTATGAGATAATTGCATATTTAAATACTGCTGGATGTTTAAACAGACTGAATAGTGCAATAATATTAAAAAATTATTTTAAATTATTTTTAGATATGAAAAAGATATTGTAACTATAGTTGGAAAAAGTCTTTTTTTTCCCCGAATTTATGAATGAAAGCTATGAAGTCTGGTATTTCTTTTAAAATAAACCAAGAGAGGGGGAATAGGTGGTGGTTTAGATGAAAACAGATTGGCTGGGAGTCAATAGTTGTTCAAAGCTGGATGATGGATCCATGAGGGCTGGTGATATTACTGTCTTCTTTTATTATTTTTTTCTTTTTTTTCAGCTTTATTGAGGTATAATTGACAAATAAAATTCTAAGATGTTTAAAGTGTACATTGTGATGATTTGATATAGGTATACACTGTGAACTGTCTGCTTTTATATGTTTGAACTTTCCCATAATATAATATTTTAAAAAAACAGAGGGGAAAACCCAAGAAAATAAATAAGATAATTATATTGTAATAAACGCTAAGAAAACAAATATGGTAATGAATGGTCTTCCCACTTGAAGTCCCATCCTAACCTAAGGCACTGGAATCAATCTGTTCAGGTTACCAGGTCACCTCCCTTCTAAATCAAACAGAAAAAGCCTGTAGGTAGGGGCCACACCCAAGTGGGGAGATGGAGTGTTTTCTTGGCTGAATCTCTATGGGTCAATTCAGTTTCCATCTTGGAAGGGAGGAGCCAGGATTCCAAGCATTATCAGCCTAATCCAAAACCATTTGGTCACACCCTGATCTAGCCAATGTTTACAGACTTTTAGGTGCATAAGAACAACCCTGAGGGCTGGTTGAAGCACAGATTGCTGGGTCCTGCCCTTAAGGATCTGATTCTGAAGGTCTGGGGTGGAGTCTCATAGTTTAATTTTCCAACCAGCTCTTCAGCAAACTGAGGCAGAGCCCTTGCACTTTGAATATAATATAATATTTAAGTTAAACTGATCTCGGCTCCCTGGGTCCTGAGACTGATGGACCAGACCATTTACCTAGGGGAAGAGAAAGCCCATTGCGAGACCAGCGAATGTCAGAGTTGCCATACTGCTTGTGAATATATTTTCCTTTAGAAACTCTGGCTCCTTTAGAGTGACCTATAAAAACATCTGTGACTTTTCCAGCCTCCTGTCTCATCACATCCTGCCCCCAACATTATCCTCCAGCAATTCCCAAGTTTTTGCAGTTCCTTCTCCTGCATTCATTAGTACATCACTTGCCTTAGCCTTATGGCTTCTGCTGTTCTTATTCTGAATAGCCAAACCTTTCCCTTCTACTCAGATCGCCATTATTGCAGGCTTAAAACCTGTGTTTAGATCTAGATCCAGAAGAGATCCTGTTATCCAGTCCCTACGATCTAAATCTAATCTCCCAGTGAGTGACACACCCATGGGCATAAATCAGTTATAAAATACCTTTGAACTTCTATTCCCTCCACAAAGCATCATTCAATCCATCACCAATACTGTTTACAAAGATTGTTTATTTGTTTGTAACTTGTCAACAAGTGTTTGTCATTTTCAAGTTTCACCTAAGTCTCACCATAAAGGAATAAAACCCAAAAATTTTTTTAAAAATCAGGAGTGATATTAATTACCCAATAACTTAACTCTTGCCTAGTAGACAAGCCTGGGTATAAAACTGATGAAATTATCACACTGTCAGATAACAAGGGAGGGGGAAAAGAGGAGGAAGGAAGACAGCTCTTCTGGAAAACAGGAAGTAGGAGACATTTGCTTATAAAAGGAGAAATTGGACTAGAAACCTCAGGTTAAGAGGATTAAATTGCAGATATCCTTAACGTTGCCGGCTCTGCCTTTCTCTGAGAGTTCCTTGGAATGGCACACCCAAATTGTGAGAAGGTAAGTTTGGTTTGAATTTCATTTATTTTCCCACAGATTCACTTTTTAAAGCCTTTCTAGAGCTCACTTATATTTCCGTCTTTCTGGATGTAAGAAATCTCTTATCTGAGAATCTGCCCCCTTTGCAAGCGAATTATTACTTTTCTTTCATGTGATTGCGGTATACAACTTGGGTGAAAGTAAAAAAGGAGAAACTAAATATTTCTGTTCCTAGTTCAAAGTAAGATATTTATTTTGTAGAAAGACATGTTGTAGCTGGGCAAGATAAAACGGTAAAGAAATGGAGAGCTGCCGTAAAAAGAAAGTGAAAAGGGTAACGTGGATAAGGTCAGAAAGTGACGTGACTAGTAGGTTTCTTTCCCCCAGGAGTAAGAAGCAAACCTACTCCCAATGGCCTTGGTACCAAAGGGTTTCCTGACTAGGCTTGGGTAGCCCTGGACTAGAGGAAAATATAAATTGAGTAGGTTTCATAGGTATTTGCAGGGGTCACTATACCGGGCTAGAGAACTGAATTGGCCAATATGAAGTATATGATTATGGGCAAGTCATATAGCTGCTTACCTCTTGAGTGGAGCGATATTCTCCCAATAATGTCCTTCTTTTTTTTAAGCTGACCAGTGAAATGTTTCCTGGAGTGCTTTGAAAAAGTGGTGTACAAAGGCAAAATCCCTTTTGCTAGCTGAAGTGCAGAAGAAGGGGAAGTCTTTGAAGAGATTTAAACCGGGCGGGTGGGCGGGGGTTGGGGGGGACGGGGACGGGCCTGGCCGCATCGGATACACTTAGCTGTTCAGAGAAGAGAATATTACAATTGAGCTGGAATGGAGTTTATTCACCCTTGGATTGGAGAGGAAAAGCTAGAAACTTAAGCATACGTGACTCTATGTTATCGGTCATGTAATTTCTGAGCCTCAGTTGCCTAATTTCTAAAATATGAAAACTAATAAATTACTACAAGTATGTTATAGGATTAAATGAGAAATACAAAAAGCTCCTGGCACAGTGCATGTGGACTGTACAAAACCAGTAAATATCAGTTCCTTCCTACCTATCCACTTTATCTTTCATTCATGAAATTGTTAAAAGAACACTGAGTGTCCACTCTGTGCTGGGCACTGTGTAAGCCCTGCGATAGCAATGGAGGGTAAGACAGATACATTTGCTCCCCACCGGTCCTGGGGCTGAAACAAGGTTGGTATGGCTGAAGGTCAGAAAGCTCAGGGCTCTTAAGCTGGAAAGGCAGACAGGGGGCCCGGCTGTTCAAGAACTTACAGGCTATACCAGGGAGTTTTGTCTTTTAACTGAAGTATTTTGAACAAGCAGGAGAGCAGTCTGCAGAAAGGAGCCAGGATGGATTGGAATCACAGGAGATTACTGATCCTGCCAGTGATGATAACGTGAATCACACAACAGAAGATGAAAAGACAGAAACACCTTCTACACAGATTTAGGAGATAAAATGAAAGTATTTGGTGTTTTAACTGATGGAGAGGAAGGCCATGAAGGAAATGGTTTCCCCAAACCCAAGATCTATGCTTTAATTTCCTCTTAAAATCCACATGTAAATCTGCTTTTGCCCATTTCCTCATTGTTTTTCCCATCTAATAAAGGGCCTATGAATCAATACCAAATTCAGGGAATCTCAGTCTCTCCATCCAGCTATTGGCTTCTCTTATTCATTAGTTGTGCCATGAAAGTAAACATTTTAGTTGTACAGCATTAAATGAGAATCAGTGATTGAGCCTTGCTTTTCCAGAACTTCTTTGAAGAGGTCTTAGGTGAAGAAAATATGGTTCTTACATTGATTCCAGTTAATGAGGAAATTGTTGAAGACCATCTAACGGAACCAAGTGTTTCTTCAACTTCAGAAGTCAAAGTGGAGTCACTGAGTCCAGATGATCAAGGTATGAGAGCAACAGAGTGAGCTCAGTTTGCTGCTCCTCCAGCTCTGGAAGATTCTTCTTCCCCTGTCCTTTAACTATGCAACACCCAGTTTAAATCTCACCTAATTATCTGTGGTAGGAGATTTCTCAAACTCTCATACTGCTCATTTGCTAAGCACCATTACTGTCTTGCTTTTAAAAAGAAACAAAAACTAGGCATGTGGGCTTCCCTGGTGGTGCAGTGGTTGAGAGTCCGCCTGCCGATACAGGGGACACAGGTTCGTGCCCCGGTCTGGGAAGATCCCACATGCCGCGGAGCGGCTGGGCCCGTGAGCCATGGCCACTGAGCCTGCGCGTTCGGAGCCTGTGCTCCGCAACGGGAGAGGCCACAACAGTGAGAGGCCCGCGTACCGCAAAACAAACAAACAAAAAAACCCAAAAAACTAGGCATGTGGAGTGCTTTGGACAGAGCATGACTTCATGGGGCAGCTAGATGTGAGCTCAAATTCCCACCCCATGAAGCTCAATCTTCTTTCCATTTTTACATACTTCTTATGAAAACCAAATCATTCCGAGCATTTTCCTTTTTCTTTTATTTCGAGCTTTTTTGAGATATAACTGACACATAAAACATGGTGTAATTTTAAGGTGTACAGGGTGATGATTGATGTACATATATATTGCAAAATGATTATCAAAATAAGGTTAATTAACACATCCATCACCTCACATAGTTAACTTTTCCCCCACTGTGGTGAGAACATTTTAAGATTTACTGTCTTCTCAATTTTTAAGCATACATTATACTATTAACTGTAGTCACCATGCTATACATTAGATCCCTAGAACTTACTCATAATTGAAAATTTGTACCCTTTGATCAACATCTTCCCATTTCCCCTACTCCCAATTCCTGGCAACCACCAATCTACTCTCCGTTCCTGAGTTCAGTCTTTTTAGATTCCACATATAAGATCAGATGGTATTTGGGAGACTAAATCATTTTGAAAAGCAACTAGTCTTTTGCTTGGTGAGCAATTACTGATCAAATATCTAGCGGCGCTTAATATCATGACCCTTTGTATCAGGGCTTCATATGAAGGCATTGAATAAGTATTTTCAGAATGATTTTATTTTGGGGGCAAATAATGAGGGCTTCCAGAGATAAAGTAGACAGTGATAAGTTAAGCAAAGTGATGTGAGACAAGGTACATTTTCTCTGTAGAGAAAAATGAGGCAGGTTGACAGAATGGAGGACCATTGTTGGATGGGGTGGTTTTAATTATTTCTGTAAGGACAGATATTTTGTGGTCCAACATCTACACATTTTGGAGGAGCAATCCAATATAATATTCTATCCAGGTGGTTGTTTATGGCTGCAAAAAGCAGGTTGCTATAGGTAGTGTAAAAAAATTGGAATTTAGAATTTCAAAATGTGTATTTGAGTCCCAGGTCTGCCATTTTTAATGGTGGTGATCTTGGGTAAGTCATTTAACTCCTGAATCTATTACCTTATTTGTAAGATGAGGAAAAATAGCTGATATGTATATGTACAAATTGGGTTATGAGAAATAAGTGAGAACTTTGTAAAATTTTAAAGAATTTACAAATATTATATTATTACTACTTTGGTTCTCTTCTTTTCTCAGTTCATTCTCCTCAAACAGATGAACAGTTCAAAGCTTGCCCAAAATCTAGTTGTTGTAAACCTATTTATCCCTTGCCAACCATATTGCCTCCAATTAACAACGTGAGTCGGGATACTTTGCGGAAATGGTGCCAACAACTTAATTTGAGTACCGATGGTCAGGTGAGTGCACTGGTAGGAATCTCTGGTGCTTGCAACAAGTATGGGAGCTCTGCCAGCTTTTAATTTTTTTAATTATTTATTTATTTATTTATTTATTTATTTATTTATTTATTTATTTATGGCTCTGTTGGGTCTTTGTTTCTGTGCGTGGGCTTTCTCTAGTTGCAGTGAGTGGGGGCCACCCTTCATTGGCCCGTGGTGCGCGGACATCTCACTGTCGTGGCTTCTCTTCTTGCGGAGCACAAGCTCCAGACGCGCAGGATCAGTAGTTGTGGCTCACAGGCCTAGTTGCTCCGCGGCATGTGGGATCTTCCCAGACCAGTGCTCGAACCCGTGTCCCCTGCATTGGCAGGTGGACTCTCAACCACTGCGCCACCAGGGAAGCCCTAAATTAATTTTTAATTAATTAATTAATTTTAAATTTATTTATTTATTTATTTATTTATTTTTGGGTCTTCGTTGTGGTGCATGGACTTCTCATTACGGTGGCTTCTCTTGTGGTGGAGCATGGGCTCTAGGTGTGCAGACTTCAGTAGTTGTGGCATGTGGGCTTCAGTAGTTGTGGGCCTGGGGCTCTAGAGCGTAGGCTCAGTAGTTGTGGTGCAGGGGCTTAGTTGCTCCACGGCATGTGGGACCTTCCCGGAGCAGGGATTGAACCCATGTCCCCTGTATTGGCAGGCAGATACTTAACAACTGTGCCACCAGGGAAGTCTGCAGGTTTTAATTTTTATTTTCCTTCTTAATTTCCTTAGAAAATAGAAGTTTATCTGAGACTCCAGAAACATGCTTATCCTGAAAAAGATCAGGTGAGTGAGGAGTGTCGTGATGTAAGTTCTGATTGTGAATTTTTCCTCCTCTCCGCCATCTCTATATGGTGGCAAGTTTTCTCAACCAAGACAATTGACATTTCGGGCCAATTAATTTCTTTTTGTCCTGGGGTTTGTCCTGTGCATTTTAGGATATTTAGTAGCCTAAATATCCATGGATTCTACCCACAATGTGTCAGTCATCTCCCTTCCCCTATACACAGTTTTGACAATCAAAATTTCTCTCAGTTAAGAACCACTGCTCTGAGGGAACTAACATTCCTAAACCCTTCCCACACTGACATACACAGGTCAATGTACGAAGAATGATAAAATCAACCCAAATGTCCTTGGGGCAGTGACGCTTCACTGCATATTCATCGTGAATTCCATTTGCAGTATATTCCTGAATCATCACGGGAGGCCAGATTGCAGTCATGTCCAGGGAAACACAAGACGGTGACCAAGACAGCAAGTGTTCAGAAAAGGAAGATGAGTGAGAATGAGGAAAGGACTAACATGGTTGAAGTGATAACTTCAGCTCAGGCAGCCATGTTGGCAGCATGGTCAAGAATTGCTGCAAGAGCTGTTCAACCTAAGGCTGTAAATTCACGTCCCCTGCCTACCTCTGTTGAGTCCTTTCTGCCGCAAGCTTCCGGTAAGATCAACCTTAAAAAATGGTTACCATGCCAGAGAAAAAAGGCACACTTTTATTAGTCCAATACTGATGGTAGTTAAAGGGAAAGCGTTAGTTAAAATATCTGCAGATGGGACGTTAGGTTCATAGAGGGCTTATCTTGTGATTGATAGCTAGCCAAGTTTTGCCTGAATGGCTCTCTAAGCCAGGTGGCTGAGTGGGGACACTTTCTCATCGCTAAGCACAGATCCAAGGTGGGAAGAAAGCATAATCTGGTAATGTGGTCAGCCACAGCCTGAGGTCTTCCCCTTTCTATTGGATTGGAAGAATTAATTAAAATGACCATGGTTCAAACCCTCGTCCTACCACTTCCTAGGTATGTGACATTGGCAAGTTACTCAGCATAAACCCTGGTATCCTGATTTATAAAATGAAGATTTCAACTATTCTACTTGATAGAACGATTGTGAGGCTTATGAAATACAACTCGGTATCCTAAAAGTAGGCAATGATAATTAAAATATTTGGGGCCCCTGTCCTCTTGAGAAATCTTGAGAATAACTTAGCCCCATCTTTCTCCAATTCTTGCTCCACTCTGATATTTCTGTTTACATTTCCATCAGACCCTACCTCAGGCCAGCACAAAGTCATTCTCTTTTCTGGCTTGAATTATTTTCCTCTCTCCATCCCGTTTCCAGAGGTGTTCTGGATCCTCTTTTTTTTATTATTAATTAATTAATTTATTTTTGGCTGCATTGGGTCTTCGTTGCTGCGGGCCGGCACTCTCTAGTTGCTGCGATCCGGGGCTGCTCTTTGTGGCAGTGCGCAGGCTTCTCCTTGCGGTGGCTTCTCCTGCTGCAGAGCACGGGCTCTAGGTGCGCAGGCTTCAGTAGTTGTGGCATGCAGGCTCAGAAGTTGTGGCTCGTGGGCTCTAGAGCGCAGGCTCAGCAGTTGTGGTGCATGAGCTTAGTTGCTCCGTGGCAACTCCCGTGGGATCTTCCCAGGCCAGGGCTCGAACCCGTGTCCCCTGCATTGGCAGGTGGATCCTTAACCACGGTGCCACCAGGGAAGCCCTACTCATCCTTTTAGTTCCTCTTCATTCAGCAGTTATCAAGCACCTACTGGGATCCAGGAGTGTGCCTAGCCACACTCTTTAAATTACTCTTTTAAAATTTATTTTTTTAAATTTATTTTATTGAAGTATAGTTGATTTACAGTGTTGTGTTAATTCCTACTGTACAGCAAAGTGACTCAGTTATACATAGATGTATACATTCTTTTTCATACTCTATTCCATTATGGTTTATCACAGGATATTGAATATAGTTCCATGTGCTATACAGTAAGGCCTTGTTTTTTATCCATTCTGTGTATAATAGTTTGCATCTGCTAATCCCAAACTCCCAATCCATCCCTCTCACACCTCCTCCCCCTTGGCAACCACAAGTCTGTGTTCTCTATGTCTGTGTGTCTGTTTCTGTTTTGTAGATAAGTTCATTTGTGTCATATTTTAGATTCCACATATAAGTGATATCATATGGTATTTATCTTTCTCTTTATGACTTACTTAGTATGATAATCTCTAGGTACATCCATATTGCTGCAAATGGCATTGTTTCATTCTTTTTTATGGCTAATACTCCATTGTGTATATGTGCCACATCTTTTTTATCCGTAAATGGACATTTAGGTTGCTTCCATGTCTTGACTATTGTAAACAGCTCTGCAATGAACACTGGGGTGCATGTATTCTTTTGAACCATGTTTTTCTCCAGATATATGCCCAGGAGTGGGATTGCTGGATCACATGGTAGCTCTGTTTTTATTTTTTTAAGGAACTCTGTACTGTTCTCCATAGTGGCTATATCAATTTACATTCCCACTAACAGTGTAGGAGGGTTCCCCCTTTTCTCCACATCCTCTTCGGCACTTGTTATTTGTAGACTTTTTAATGATGGCAATTCTGTATGGTGTGAGGTGGTACCTCAGTGTAGTTTTGATTTGCATTTCTCTAATAATTAGAGGCATTGAGCATCTTTTCATGTGCCCGTTGGTCACCTGTACGTCTTCTTTGGAGAAATGTCTATTTAGGTATTCTGCCCATTATTTGACTGGGTTGTTTGTTATGAACTGTTTGTATATTTTGGAAATTACGCCTTTGGCGGTCTTGTCATTTGCAGATATTTTCTCCCAGTTCATAAGTTTTTTGTTTGTTTGTTTATGGTTTTCTTTGCTGTACAAAAGCTTGTAAGTTTGATTAGGTCCCGTTTATTTATTTTTGCTTTTATTTCTTTTGCCTTGGGAGACTGACCTAAGAAAACACTGCTACAATTTATGTCAGAGAATGTTTTGCCTATGTTCTCTTATAGTATCATGTCTTATATTTAAGTCTTTAAGCCATTTTGAGTTTTTGTATATGGTGTGAGTATGTGTTCTAACTTCATTGATTTACTTGCAGCTGTCCAACTTTTCCAACACCATTTGCTGAAGAGGATGTCTTTTCTCTATTGTATATTCTTGCCTTCTTTGTCAAAGATTAATTGAGCATAGTGTGTGTGTTTATTTCTGGGCTCTCTATTCTGTTCCATTGATCCATATGTCTGTTTTTGTGCCAATACCATGCTGTTTTGTCTTTTTTTTTCATGCTGTTTTGATTACTGCAAATTTGTAGTGTTATCTGAAGCCTGGGAGCGCTATGCCTCCTACTTTGTTCTTTTCCCTCAGGATTGCTTTGGCAATTCTGGGTCTTTTATGGTTCAGTATAAACTGTAGAACTATTTTTTTAGTTCTGTGAAAAATCATGGGTTATTTGATAGGGATCACGTTAAATCTGTAGATTGCTTTGTGTAGTATGGCCATTTAAATAATATTAATTCTTCCAATCCAAAAGCGTGGTCATCTCTACTCTTATTTTACAGTTGACTGGGGAGATTTTATAGATATTTAAGCCTACAATGATTGCTCCTTTCCCTCAATTTCAGACACTTGATATCTATAGGACTTACTACTCTGTGGTCTCTCAAATATCCCATCTCTCCAATTAGATTGTTCGTTAGACTTTTAAAAAAGATCCTTTTGCCTGTTTTCTATAGTTGAGGCAGTACAATGTAATGGTTAGGCAAATTGGCTGTGAATCAGAATACCTAGATCCTTGTTTTGGTTCTGGGAAAATTATGATATTTTAACACTGTAAGCTTCACTTACTTCACCTGTAAATAAGAAAAGTAAATAGAAGGTAAATATTAATGATGTTCTTAAGAATAAATGTATTAATACATGTAAGTCACGTAGCAAAATCCTGGACACAAAGCAAGTTTTCCAAAAGTTAATTGTTATTGTCCTCTGTGCTATGTAGTTTGTGGAGTTAGATTACAGTGTCTTTTGGTCTACATTTTCCATGCTTCTCATTCAGTTGATTCAAGAGTGACTCACTGAGGGATTGGATTGGGGTACAGTTACCTGATCGTAGCAGTTTATGTTTGCTTCTTTTTCCTTGCCTAGGTGTCCGGTGGTGTGTGGTCCATGGCAGACCACTCTTGGCAGACACAGAAGGTTGGGTTCGCCTGCAGTTCCATGCAGGTCAGACCTGGGTGCCTAACACTCCCAGGAGGATGATCTCTCTCTTCATGTTACCTTCAAGAATTGCTGCAAGAGCTGTTCAACCTAAGGCTGTAAATTCACGTCCCCTGCCTACCTCTGTTGAGTCCTTTCTGCCGCAAGCTTCCGGTAAGATCAACCTTAAAAAATGGTTACCATGCCAGAGAAAAAAGGCACACTTTTATTAGTCCAATACTGATGGTAGTTAAAGGGAAAGCGTTAGTTAAAATATCTGCAGATGGGACGTTAGGTTCATAGAGGGCTTATCTTGTGATTGATAGCTAGCCAAGTTTTGCCTGAATGGCTCTCTAAGCCAGGTGGCTGAGTGGGGACACTTTCTCATCGCTAAGCACAGATCCAAGGTGGGAAGAAAGCATAATCTGGTAATGTGGTCAGCCACAGCCTGAGGTCTTCCCCTTTCTATTGGATTGGAAGAATTAATTAAAATGACCATGGTTCAAACCCTCGTCCTACCACTTCCTAGGTATGTGACATTGGCAAGTTACTCAGCATAAACCCTGGTATCCTGATTTATAAAATGAAGATTTCAACTATTCTACTTGATAGAACGATTGTGAGGCTTATGAAATACAACTCGGTATCCTAAAAGTAGGCAATGATAATTAAAATATTTGGGGCCCCTGTCCTCTTGAGAAATCTTGAGAATAACTTAGCCCCATCTTTCTCCAATTCTTGCTCCACTCTGATATTTCTGTTTACATTTCCATCAGACCCTACCTCAGGCCAGCACAAAGTCATTCTCTTTTCTGGCTTGAATTATTTTCCTCTCTCCATCCCGTTTCCAGAGGTGTTCTGGATCCTCTTTTTTTTATTATTAATTAATTAATTTATTTTTGGCTGCATTGGGTCTTCGTTGCTGCGGGCCGGCACTCTCTAGTTGCTGCGATCCGGGGCTGCTCTTTGTGGCAGTGCGCAGGCTTCTCCTTGCGGTGGCTTCTCCTGCTGCAGAGCACGGGCTCTAGGTGCGCAGGCTTCAGTAGTTGTGGCATGCAGGCTCAGAAGTTGTGGCTCGTGGGCTCTAGAGCGCAGGCTCAGCAGTTGTGGTGCATGAGCTTAGTTGCTCCGTGGCAACTCCCGTGGGATCTTCCCAGGCCAGGGCTCGAACCCGTGTCCCCTGCATTGGCAGGTGGATCCTTAACCACGGTGCCACCAGGGAAGCCCTACTCATCCTTTTAGTTCCTCTTCATTCAGCAGTTATCAAGCACCTACTGGGATCCAGGAGTGTGCCTAGCCACACTCTTTAAATTACTCTTTTAAAATTTATTTTTTTAAATTTATTTTATTGAAGTATAGTTGATTTACAGTGTTGTGTTAATTCCTACTGTACAGCAAAGTGACTCAGTTATACATAGATGTATACATTCTTTTTCATACTCTATTCCATTATGGTTTATCACAGGATATTGAATATAGTTCCATGTGCTATACAGTAAGGCCTTGTTTTTTATCCATTCTGTGTATAATAGTTTGCATCTGCTAATCCCAAACTCCCAATCCATCCCTCTCACACCTCCTCCCCCTTGGCAACCACAAGTCTGTGTTCTCTATGTCTGTGTGTCTGTTTCTGTTTTGTAGATAAGTTCATTTGTGTCATATTTTAGATTCCACATATAAGTGATATCATATGGTATTTATCTTTCTCTTTATGACTTACTTAGTATGATAATCTCTAGGTACATCCATATTGCTGCAAATGGCATTGTTTCATTCTTTTTTATGGCTAATACTCCATTGTGTATATGTGCCACATCTTTTTTATCCGTAAATGGACATTTAGGTTGCTTCCATGTCTTGACTATTGTAAACAGCTCTGCAATGAACACTGGGGTGCATGTATTCTTTTGAACCATGTTTTTCTCCAGATATATGCCCAGGAGTGGGATTGCTGGATCACATGGTAGCTCTGTTTTTATTTTTTTAAGGAACTCTGTACTGTTCTCCATAGTGGCTATATCAATTTACATTCCCACTAACAGTGTAGGAGGGTTCCCCCTTTTCTCCACATCCTCTTCGGCACTTGTTATTTGTAGACTTTTTAATGATGGCAATTCTGTATGGTGTGAGGTGGTACCTCAGTGTAGTTTTGATTTGCATTTCTCTAATAATTAGAGGCATTGAGCATCTTTTCATGTGCCCGTTGGTCACCTGTACGTCTTCTTTGGAGAAATGTCTATTTAGGTATTCTGCCCATTATTTGACTGGGTTGTTTGTTATGAACTGTTTGTATATTTTGGAAATTACGCCTTTGGCGGTCTTGTCATTTGCAGATATTTTCTCCCAGTTCATAAGTTTTTTGTTTGTTTGTTTATGGTTTTCTTTGCTGTACAAAAGCTTGTAAGTTTGATTAGGTCCCGTTTATTTATTTTTGCTTTTATTTCTTTTGCCTTGGGAGACTGACCTAAGAAAACACTGCTACAATTTATGTCAGAGAATGTTTTGCCTATGTTCTCTTATAGTATCATGTCTTATATTTAAGTCTTTAAGCCATTTTGAGTTTTTGTATATGGTGTGAGTATGTGTTCTAACTTCATTGATTTACTTGCAGCTGTCCAACTTTTCCAACACCATTTGCTGAAGAGGATGTCTTTTCTCTATTGTATATTCTTGCCTTCTTTGTCAAAGATTAATTGAGCATAGTGTGTGTGTTTATTTCTGGGCTCTCTATTCTGTTCCATTGATCCATATGTCTGTTTTTGTGCCAATACCATGCTGTTTTGTCTTTTTTTTTCATGCTGTTTTGATTACTGCAAATTTGTAGTGTTATCTGAAGCCTGGGAGCGCTATGCCTCCTACTTTGTTCTTTTCCCTCAGGATTGCTTTGGCAATTCTGGGTCTTTTATGGTTCAGTATAAACTGTAGAACTATTTTTTTAGTTCTGTGAAAAATCATGGGTTATTTGATAGGGATCACGTTAAATCTGTAGATTGCTTTGTGTAGTATGGCCATTTAAATAATATTAATTCTTCCAATCCAAAAGCGTGGTCATCTCTACTCTTATTTTACAGTTGACTGGGGAGATTTTATAGATATTTAAGCCTACAATGATTGCTCCTTTCCCTCAATTTCAGACACTTGATATCTATAGGACTTACTACTCTGTGGTCTCTCAAATATCCCATCTCTCCAATTAGATTGTTCGTTAGACTTTTAAAAAAGATCCTTTTGCCTGTTTTCTATAGTTGAGGCAGTACAATGTAATGGTTAGGCAAATTGGCTGTGAATCAGAATACCTAGATCCTTGTTTTGGTTCTGGGAAAATTATGATATTTTAACACTGTAAGCTTCACTTACTTCACCTGTAAATAAGAAAAGTAAATAGAAGGTAAATATTAATGATGTTCTTAAGAATAAATGTATTAATACATGTAAGTCACGTAGCAAAATCCTGGACACAAAGCAAGTTTTCCAAAAGTTAATTGTTATTGTCCTCTGTGCTATGTAGTTTGTGGAGTTAGATTACAGTGTCTTTTGGTCTACATTTTCCATGCTTCTCATTCAGTTGATTCAAGAGTGACTCACTGAGGGATTGGATTGGGGTACAGTTACCTGATCGTAGCAGTTTATGTTTGCTTCTTTTTCCTTGCCTAGGTGTCCGGTGGTGTGTGGTCCATGGCAGACCACTCTTGGCAGACACAGAAGGTTGGGTTCGCCTGCAGTTCCATGCAGGTCAGACCTGGGTGCCTAACACTCCCAGGAGGATGATCTCTCTCTTCATGTTACCTGCCTGCACTTTCCCATCCCCAGACCTAGAAGATAATATGTTATGTCCTGAATGTGCTAAGAGGTAATCCTTAAGTATCTTTCTAAATATGACACACAGAACAATAGATGTCTAGATGGGTTTCTGAAAAATTTAGTAGGAGAAGGCAGAGGGCAAACATGCTGTTTTCTTAATTTGCCATATAGATCAGGCAAAAATAGGAAGCAAAAATAAGTTAGCAGGGGCTTCCCTGGTGGCGCAGTGGTTAGGAATCCACCTGCCAATGCAGGGGACATGGGTTTGAGCCCTGGTCCGGGAAGATCCCACATGCCGCGGAGCAACTAAGCCCGTGTGCCACAACTACTGAGCCTGTGCTCTGGAGCCCGTGAGCCACAACTACTGAAGCCCGTGAGCCTATAGCCTGTGCTCTGCAACAAGAGAAGCCACTGCAATGAGAAGCCATGCACCGCGAGCCCCGCTCGTCACAACTAGAGAAAAGCCCACGCACGGCAACGGAAACCCAATGCAGCCAAAAATAAAAATAAATAAAATAAATTTTTAAAAAATTTAGCAGTGGATTAGAACTCAGATAAATGTGTCTTCTTCTTAGCAACCTTAACAAGGTAGTTGACAAGTTAAGACATTAACTGCCTCAATTTTAGAGAGATCTGTTTTAAGAAAGAAAAAATTAGGTTCTCACCGTATGTCAGATACTTAGCTGGGGATACAAAAATTAGGAAGACAAAACCCATGTAGCATGCTGAGATGAAAATGAGTAAGAGATGCTATGAAACTATCTGGAAAGTACCTATATTGCAGTGACTTAGGGAAACTTCAGAAGGGATTACATGTACTGAGGAAGAGTTTACCAGTTAGAAAGTAAAAATTTGGGCATTTTGGTAGTCGAAACAGCCCCTACCAATACATGGAAGAATATAACCTGCTTACATTGCAAATAGGCCAATATGATTGAAGCTTATATTGACAAATAAGTCTGGGAAGGGAAGGAGCAGACTATTGAAGGTTTTATATCTATATTAAAGGTCTCATATTATCCTGTGGGTCATAGTTTCTCAGTCACTTTTGGGACATAGATTTCTTTGAGAAAATAATGATAACAACATCTTCTCCACTCAAGAAAACACACATTGTGCATACACATAAGCAGTGCTTTAGGTTTTATATAGACGTGGAACTCATGAGCACAAAATTCAGCTTTTGGTGATGGAATTGGATGGAGGTGATGCAAGATGGGTGTGAAGGGAAATTAGGTTTTTATTTTTTTAAAGTTATATACTTTAAAAATATTTATTTATTTATTTATTTGGCTGCATCAAGTCTTAGCTGTAGCACACAGGCTCTTCATTGTGGCATGCGGGATCTTTCATTGCGGTGTGCGGGCTCTTTGTTGCGGCTCGTGGGCTTCTTTCTAGCTGTGGAGTGTGGGCTTAGTAGTTGTAGCACATGGGCTCCAGAGCGTGCGGACTCAGTAGTTGTGGCCCGTGGGCCCTAGAGCATGTGGGCTTCGTTGCCCCGTGGCATGTGGGATCTTAGTTCCCAGACCAGGGATCAATCCCGCATCCCCTACATTGGAAGGCAGATTCTTAACCACTGGACCACCAGGGAAGTCCTGAGGTTGTTTTGTTTTTTAAGAAAGTAGATTGAAATTTTGTGACAGAGACTACATTGGAGTGTCAGAGATTACTATAATAATTCTGGAAAGATGTAATTTATGACCTTGGTAAAGAATTTGAAGCGGAATGGGACAAATGTAAGAGTTGCAGGAGTATAGAGAACAGAATGCCATCTTATTAGAGGGAAGGCAGAAGTTCAGTTCAAGGGCAAAGAATGATACATGGGACATGCTTCACATGGGTCTAGTGTTCAGAGAAGTATGGGTTAGAAAGAAACATCTTTGGGAGTCATTAACATGCAAATTGAACATAAGAATATGTAAGAATTAGAAGGGACTGCAGAAGAACCTTAAAAGAGAAGCAGCTTATCCATGGCAGGTGAGCAATGAAGACTGAAAAAGTGCAGTTAGAGGTTGGGAGATAAGTGAGAAAAAAAGCAATGGGTCGAGAGTTTCAGAAGGAAATAGTTGGTAGTGAGATGGCCATGTAAGATTATGGTTAATGCAGTGTTGCCTGGAATGTGAATTTGGTACACCATTGGCGGCCTTTTTGAGAGTATGTTGAGAGGGTCAGGTGATAGTTGGAGCAGAGCATGTGAAAAACTAGGAACAGGTCATATTGATGATCTCTACTACCTGAGCTAGAGGAGATAGCAGTTAGTTGAGGCAGTAATGTCAAAGGAGCTTGTTTGTGTCTTCCCTTCCTTCCTTCCTTCCTTCCCTCCTCTGTTTCTTCTTTTTAATTTTTAATGGGAATACCAAGAGCAGTGTGAACAGAGAGGGGATGTGGGGAGAAGCTGTGAGGAGGAAAGGGAGAGTATAAAGATACAGGAAGTAGAACCAATTGTAGTTTAGAGAATAGGAGCCCTGATATTAAGTGGACAATGTTGTTCCTCTGCTTATTACATAAAATCTTTTTACCCACCATCCTAGGGTTGTGGGGCAAACTACTCACAAACTCCAGAAGGGTATTCCTCATTTTACTGGTCATTTTCAAGGGGCTGGTATATAATGGTCTATCTTATTCTAACCATTTTCCAAAATTTTTTTCTGACTTGCTTTAAAGGAATAAGAAAATTATGAAAAGATTAATTGCAATGGGGAAGAGGAAGAAACCTGGTTTGGACATACGAACATCATTGCTTTTAGATGGGCCATGTCTTAATACAAAATAAATGGTTAGCGGAGGGGAAGGGGTGGGGTGTGGATGAAATGTGTGAAGGGGGGTAATTGTATGGTAATGATGGTAACTAGATCAGTTTTGTAGTGTACACAAATATCGAATTACTATGTTGTACACCTGTAACATAACGTTATATACCAATTTTACCTCAATATAAAAAAATGTTTGTTAGAATACACCAGTGAAGCCATCTAGTCCTGGACTTTTGTTTGTTGGGAAGTCTTTGATTATGATTCAAACTCCTTACTAGTAATCATGAAAAAAAGAGATAAATGATGGAGAGCCCACAGTTAAAGTGACTTGCATCCCAATGATTGCTATGCTCTGTCCTTGCCATCCTCAATGTTGCCTGATGCCTTAAGTACAGATGGGAATGTCTGGATTCTGTACTGAGGTTTACCAAAAAATGACTGTTACTGCTGCTTCAAGTACTAGCTATATAGAATGTAATTTGGTTTTATTTTAGTTAATAGATTTTTGTTTTTTTAGCAGTTTTAAGCTTTCAGAAAAATTGAGCAGAAAGTACAGAATTCTCAAATACCACCCCTCCTCCCCACCCCATTTCCTCTACTATCAACATCCTGCCCCCGAGAGGCACAGTTGTTGAACCTACATTGACCCATCATTGTCACCCAAAGCCCGTAGTTTATATTAGGGTTCATTCTTGTGTTGTACACTCTATGGGTTTTGACCAATGTATAATGACATACTCATCATTTTAGTGTCATACAAAATAGTTTCACTGTGCTATAAAAATGTTCTGTGCTCCCCCTATTTAACACTTTCTCCCCCCAGCTCCAGACCACTGATCTTCTTCCTGTCGGCATAGCTTTGCCTCTTTACAGAATGTCATACATTTGGAATCATACAGTAGCCTTTTCAGATTTACTTCTTTCACAACAGGAAATGTATATAAAATTCTTTCATGTTTTTTCATGGCTGGATTGCCCACTTTTTAATGCTGAATACTCCATTGTTTGGGTGTACCATAATTTATCCATTCACATATTGAAGGCCACCTTGGTTGCTTCCAAGTTTTGGCAATTATGAATAAAGCTGCTATAAACATTTGTGTGCAGGTTTTTGTGTGAACATACATTTTCAACTCATTTGGATAAATATCAAGGAACATGATTTTTGAATCATAAGAATATGTTTAGTTTTGTAAGAAATTGCCAAACTGTCTTCCAAAATGGCTGTACCCTTTTACATTCCCACCAGCAATGAATGAGAGTTCCTTCTGCGCCACATCCTCCCTAGCATTTGGGGATGTCAGGGCTTTGGATTTTGGCCTTTCTATCTTATTTTTTAAATAAATTTATTTATTTTATTTATTTTTTTTGGCTGCGTTGGGTCTTCGTTGCTGCACGCAGGCTTTCTTTAGTTGCGGCAAGTGGGGGCTACTCTTTGTTGCAGTGTGCGGGCTTCTCATCGTGGTGGCTTCTTTTTGTTAATTTTTCTGGATTAATTAGTATATTTAGAAAATCGATGTTCAACATGATTGATATAGATGGATTAAGATCTGTATTTGTTTTCATCACCCTCTTTTTGAACTTTTTTGTCTTCCCCTCTTTTCCTTCTCATTTTAGTTGAACGTTTTATATGACTCCATTTTTTTCCCCTCTCCTGTATATCAATTACACTTTCACTACTGTTTTTTCTTTGTGTGTGCTTGCCCTTGAGTTTGCTATGGTTACTAGCAATCAAGTTCTTTTTCTTTTCTTTTTTAAGTATAAGTCATTTTTCAACAAATGAATTTATTTATTATTTATTTTTGGCTACGTAGGGTCTTTGCTGCTGCGTGTGGGCTTTCTCTAGTTGCGGTGAGCAGGGGCTACTCTTTGTTGCAGTGCGCGGGCCTCTCATTGCGGTAGCTTCTCTTGCTGCAGAGTATAGGCTGTAGGCGCGCGGGCTTCAGTAGTTGTGGCACACAGGCTCAGTAGTTGTAGCTTGCGGGCTCTAGAGCGCAGGCTCAGTAGTTGTGGCACACGGGCTTAGTTGATCCGTGGCATGTGGGATCTTCCTGGACCAGGGCTCAAACCCGTGTCCCCTGCATTGGCAGGCAGATTCTTAACCACTGTGCCACCAGGGAAGTCCCCAGGCTCTTTTTCAAATAACAATATAGCAATTCACAAGTATTGCAAGTGCCTTGTAATATAGTATTTCCAACTCCTACTTCTCCCTTATAACATTGCTGTCATTCATTTTATTTATCCATTTATTTATTTTGAACAAACATATGTTAGATCAATTAGGAATAAGAAAAATAAAAGATTTTATCTCCTTTTACTTCTTCTCTAGAACTCTTCTTTAGAGCTGAGTTTCTGACCTATATCGTATTCTTTCTGAAGATTTTTTTTTTAAAGAATCCAGGTTTATTAAGCCAGACATTAATTTGCAAGAGATTTGTAAAACAATGTTATTCTTCTGACTAAATTTCTTTATGAAAATATATTATTTTCCATAAAGATATTTATGTTAACATGTAATGGGTTTATTATTTTTAGTGAAAAAATATTTTTAAAAGTTACTCAGTTTTAATGTCTAATCTGGCAAATATTGATAGACAAGCAAAATCTCAATAATTTTTAAGAGTGTGAAGGAGTTCCAAGACCAAAACAGTTGAGAATAGTTGATCTAGTCCAACCCTCTCTCTCTTGCTCCCCCAATTTTTAGAGGCTTGGAGTGGGAAGGGGCCCTTCCCAGGAAGATTGTGGCTCTGGTCCTGACACTCCATATTTGGTGAAAGCCTTTGAAAAAGATACCTCCTCTCTGGTGTATTCACTCTCTCTTCATTGGGTCCTTATCTGGATTTAAATGTCTTTGAACTTTTTAAAAAAAGGCCTTTCTCTATACATATACCTCCTTCCACCTAACAATTGCTAGGTCCTTGTAACAAACTTCTTGAAGAAATTGTTTACACTCATATCCCTACTTTCTCATCTTTCACTCACTCATTCAATATATATTTATTGAGAGCTATGTACCATATAGAGTTTTAAGTGCTCATAACTCAACAATGAATTTAAAAAAATCCTTGTTCTTTTAAATCTTACATTCTAGTAAGGGTAGACATGTCCAGAAAAATTGTCCAGAACTTGTAAATGGGCAGAAGAGGATTACTGGGTCATCTTTCATTGTAGTGCTGGGGTATACCTTTGATTGCCTTTATATTGACTAAGCTATCATACAACTTTGTAGGGGTAGAGGCTAACTTGTAGAAAACTGATAGCAATGCAAATAATTCTTGTCTGAGAACAATGCAAATACTTCCTATTCCTAGTAACGCAAATGGATTTTGTCTAGTAGAGATGGAATCCATTTCCATCTGGTCGAAGAAATAACTCCCAGAATTACAGTTTTTTGCTTCATAGGATATTAGTATTTTTGCAACTATTAGCAAATTCATTTCAGTATTCCTTTGGCTGATAATCTAAATCTCTGAAACTCAAATTCTCATTTGAACAAGTCTTACCTACCATCTTACTGGTTCCCTCATTATTTAAGATAATAATGGATGAGTAGTTTATTATGATGAATAAAATCTTTGTCATGTGTTCATTTTATTTTTTATAAGAGATATGTTTTCAACCTTTTGAAAATTATTTAGCAGACTAAAAGAAAATAAAATACATATCAGGTGGTAATAAGTCAAAAGTATAAAACAGCGCAAAAGGACAGCTATTAACTGGTGGTGTAGTATGGTACTGTCTGTTTATTTATTTATTTATTTATTTATTTATTTATTTATTTATTTATTTTGCGGCACGCGGGCCTCTCACTGTTGTGGCCTCTCCCGTTGCAGAGCACAGGCTCCGGACGCGCAGGCTCAGCGGCCATGGCCCACGGGCCCAGCCGCTCCGCGGCATGTGGGATCTTCCCGGATCGGAGCACGAACCCGTGTCCCCTGCATCAGCAGGTGGACTCTCAACCACTGCGCCACCAGGGAAGCCCATGGTACTGTTTTAGATAGGTCCAATCAGTCAAAGTCCTGCACTACTCTCTCTTAACTGTAAGTGGAATCCATTCTCTCCTCTCCATCTTCACTGCCACCACACTAATCCAGACCATTACCTTCTCTCATCTGATCTCCTCGCCTTACTCCTACCTACTCCGATCATAGGCTATCAGATGATCATTTTTATAAACAATTATCTGATCATGTCCCTCTTTTCCACTGGCTCCCTATGTGGAGTCAAGTTTTGTGGGGTCTAAACCTTACACAATTCGGGAGGCCCTCGAGAAAAATAATGCAAAAATTAGGTACCGAGCCTTGAAAGGGGTAGTGCAAATGACAGGTTCTGAAACTTAAGCTTCATTAGCTTCACTATAAATCTGCCTCTGCCTACAAGTCTAGCCTCCATTTTCTCTACCTCAAGACCTTTCTCCGTACAATTTCTGCCCAGAAGGCTCTTCCCGTTCCCTTTTGCCTAGATAACTCTTGAAGTACTCAGCTCCCGATCCTCCCTGAAACCCCAACCGGATTAGGGGCCTTTACAGCCTCTCCCAAGTCCAAGCATCCCAGCAGAGCCAGCTTTCTGCGCAAATGATCCTTCAAAAGATCCCTGGCTGGGCGGGGTTTGCACCTGAGATGTGTCTGTGGGCGGAGCCCCAGGCGTGAATGAGCCGTGGTCCACCCCGCTTTACGTCCGGAGTGGGGCGCACCACCTCTCCGGAACCTGCACGGCTCCCGTTGCGGTTCCGGTCGGAATTACTGGGCGGCGCACGCCGACTTGGCTGCGCAGGTAGTGAGAGTGCTCGGGTCTTGCGGAAGCGTATGGACTTCGCGACGGTCCCGCGGTGACAAAAGAAGTGGGTAAGATCCAGTGACAGCAGCCTCTTGCCGCCGCCCCTCGGGAAACTTCTCCAGCCCTTCCAATCACTTTCCTCACCCTCCTCTGAAAATTTTCTAACATTTATTGCGAGACAGATCTACTGGTGACCAATGCCCTCAGTTTTTGTCTGAGAAATTATTTCTTCACTTTTGAAGGAAAATTTTGCCAAACAAAGTTCTAAGTTTTTTTTTTTCCTTTAGGTACTTTAAATATCGCTTCACTCTTTTCTTGCTTGCATGTTTCCCGACGAGAAGCCATAAATTTCCCCTTTCTTCTCCAGACCTTCA